GTAGGAACATATTCGTGTTTTGTTTTATTTTGTTATTTTGTTTACCTATGAAAAAAAGATGGTTTTTCTGAAAACTTTTAAGTTAACCTGAAATGGGTGTTGAACCTTGTGCAGGAGGTGGGGTTTGCTGACACGTGTGCAGCTGCAGAGGAATGTGCACTTTGCACGTAACAGAGTCATGAAAAGGGTCTACATTTGGTCCTACAAATGTTGCAACAGTGGTTTTGGAATTTAAAGGAAGGATAAAGCACTGCATTGCTAAAATAACGTTTGTCCTATACTGGCTAGCAAACTATAACTATATAGTTAATATAAAGTATATTAATATAAATTAATATTTACTTATAGAGTAAATATACGTTACTTATAAATTTACTTATAAGTTTATTTACTTATAGAGTTAATATAAACTCTATAAACTTTTTTAAAATTTTTAATTTAAGTCTGTCGTAATGTTATGACAGCTGGTGGCATTACTGCTGCACAGTGTGTGTCGTGTAACATTCCTTTAAGGGAGTAGAGAAGAGGGTCTACATGTCATTATATATCTTTTAATCTACTGCAGGAGAACATCCGTTGTGTTTCACAGGAACGGCAACAGTTAACTCAGCAGTTACAAGATGAAACTCACCAGAAGGAACAGTTAAAGCAGATAAAGAACGAAATGGAGAATGAAAGATGGCAACTGAACAAGACTGTTGAGAAGTTACAGGAGGAGGTATGAGTTCACTCCGAAGAGGCTGCAGGAATCCAAGTATCTAACAGACAAAGCAAACGAGCTGCCAAATTGTGAAACATGATTTTTATGGTTTTTTTAGAGTGTAAAAGAAAGTGAAATGCAGGGTTCACTCTTAGTCTCTAATCTAGAGATTATCAAGGAAAGCTTTCAGGGCTGGAACACTGGTTGGAACATGAGTGTCTCAAAATACTATTGTAAACCAGTTCTGTTTTGTTTAAACAAGGTCTCAGGTTTGACTTCAGTTCTGATGTGTCCTGCAGCAGTATTCCAGAGCTTCACAGCTGATGCTCAAAGTGCTGCTGCATGAGACTTATTTTGCCATCTGTGCGTAAACCGTACTACTTCATATTGATACACTGACGTGTGACTGTACAGTTCATGGTGTCAGACAGCTGGAAGAGCTGCTGACGACAAAAGGAGAACAGTATTATCACACATACTGTTAGAAAAGAACCGTAATGTTTTGTGTTTTCATACTTCTGCATAGAAATACATTCGTTTGGGAACAAGTTTGATAAATATTCCATTATAAAATACTGAGCTGAATATCAAAGCTGGAGGAAAAAAAACCCTTTTGGTGTATTAAGCATGATAGAACCTTTTGTGGTACTATTTTAGGAAAATATATGTACTTTTCCCCCCAGATGTCTGAAATGGTAGAGGTCTCAAGATCGTCAACTCTGGAGCTTCAGAACCAGCTTGATGAATACAAGGAGAAAAACCGCAGGGAACTTGCAGATGTGCACAGGCAATTAAAAGAGAAAAACCTTGAGGTAGAAAAATCACGCCTGACAACCATGAGAATGCAAGATGAGGTAATGACTCAAGTTCAGTGACAAAATAACCTTTGACCTAGAATGTTTGCTGTCACACTTTTGCGTACTTCATCATGAGAGACTGATCTCAGTCAGCATGCTGTTGAGTTTCGTTCTTCTTGATAATGATCAGCATAATAATTCTGTCAGGGAAATGGGGTTTCCTGTTTATGACAGATAAATGCAGCATTTGACAAATGAACGTGTCTTAAGTGATGTGACAAGGATTCCACTGATAAACTGTTGCTCTCTTAATACTTGATACTGGAGGAATTGAGAATGTGGAAATATTCGTGAATTAGGGGAAAAAAACCAAACCCAACTGAATTCTGGCTTTAAAGGAGCTGACATACGTTCTCTTCCTCTTTCATATGAGCCAAGCTGCAGATTTAAATGACAAAGTTGTCTGTGCAAGCAAGAGTCAACCCTAGTCTTGAGGTGTCTGCCTCGTAGCATGTAAATTTTGTCATAAAGGCAATCCAGTTCTTTAAAGACCTGTGTATACTTGTTCTGCAATTGGAAAAGCTATGAGAATACACTGGCCGCAGATGTTTTTCTGTACGTAGAATATTTTAAGAGTTTGATTTTTCCCGTTCAGAACTTCTCTTATGTTGCCCTCTCACCTTAACAAACTTGTTTTAAATTCAATTTTAAAACCAGCATTAGAAGAAAGTATAGTTCTTACATATTACTCCATCTTCCTTCTGTATTTATTCCATTCAAGGATGGAGAGCCTTTGTAAAGTGACAAAGACTCGTAATGAAGCATGAAAGATAAAACTGGGATATTGAGAACATGGCTTCTAAGTTGAGTAAATGAGAATAGACAGCTTAAGTAAGACATATGCGTGTGTGTATGTAAATACATACGTGCACTGTGTTTACAATTATTATGAAAAATACTTCAGTGTTATCACAACTACAAAACAGATTTTAAAAAATCAGAACAAAGTAAACCTTTGTTATTTGGCAAGAAGATAATCCAATCACTGTATGAGGGACAAAATATGTTACTGGTTGTGGAATTCTACTTCTCCATGAAGTGTGTAGAGATTTAAAATCCTAGGACTTAAAAAATGTAGTGTGGCAACCAGGTGTGAAAGAGGAAACAAAATTTGAAAATACAGGATAGGCAGGTTAAACAGCAAACTCGAGAGACTACGTATTCAGGACAATTTAAAGTCTTTATTATCTTTTCCTCTTTTTGTTTAACAAGAAGTACAAATAGATAGTCCTTCCATGCAATGTGAGTCTATTGTCTGTCAAAATCATATTATGTAGGTGTCACAGTGCGCAAAACATTCTTTCTGAGAGTCTCCCCAAAAGCCAAAGATTGTAATGATCATGGCAACATGAGTATCATCTTCCTCAGCAGAAAAAATATGAAACAGTCTTCTATGGCAGTATGGGAGTTCTTCATTACTGTGGAATCACAGAATTCTGTGTGTGGAAACACAGAAGATAGCAATCTGGAAAGTTGTCAATCCAATGTCATTCTGAAATGTTAAATGCATATGAAATGCTATTAATATACAGATTTCTGCACTTAACTAGCTGTTCTCCAAGTCATGTAGATGTCCAGTGTTTTGTTGGCAGGAATTAGCAATAGGTAGCAAGCTCTGTAGACAGTCACTAATACATAATTTTAGCTTCATCACTAAAATAAGCACTTGACTAAACAGAGGAAGAATGTGGAAGACTCTGTGCTGAAGAAAAAAAGCCTCTTATTGTATAGTGTATACATGTCACAAGTATAAGGAATGATCAGTATCTCTTAAAACCCTTCTCACTACTTACGTTTTTTTAAAAGTACTGTGAAGATTTGAGATGCTTTTATTGAGTGCATGCTGTTCTTAGAGTAGGAAACTTTTGTCCTCGGCAGATAGATCTTCTATATCTAAAAGTTCTACTAATACATATATATATGTTAGCAGTTATATCACTGGTAAAATGCTGTTATCAAAGTGCCTCAGACCTGTAAACCACATAATTCTTTAAAAACTGAAGCATTGGTAGCCTGAAAAGGAAAGGAATAATATTGCAAGAAGTTCCAAAAATATAACCATTTAGAAAACTGTAAAAAAATTTTGCTAGCTCTAAGTAGGTATAACTAAATAAATAAAACCCCACTATGTATAATTGTCACTCTAAAACCTGTAGTATGAGGCATCTCTTTAGAGCTGGTGCTTAATCCAAGTTTATTTTCTTGGTGCCATCTTGTGGATGAAGCAAAAATTACTGTGGAAAGCACATAACAATTCAATTCCTGCCACAATTCCTGATCTGTCACGTTTGTAGTAAGTTTACTGACATCACTTATTTATAGAAAGTACAGTATAAAGCATATTGCCATAATCTTATTGTTTAAGATGCGTCTTATGGAAGAAAACTTGAGGGACCACCAGAGAGCTCAGGATGAGGCAATAACAAAAACTCGGCTGCTAGAACAGACTGTGAAAGGCTTGGAGTATGAACTAGAAGCCAAAAGCCACTTAAAAGACGATCGGGCAAGACAAATCAAACTAATGGAGGTAAAAGACATTTTTAAGGGTTGGTATCTTATTAGAATTGATTAATTTATGATATTAATTTATTTATTGCAGCATAATGTGTCCTAAATGGCAACTGTTTGTTCATAATTTTAATTAACTTTTTAATTAATTTCCTCTAGAGCTTATCAGGCAAAATTGTATTATTTCATTCATAGGCCCACCACTCAGAACTTCAAAAGTATTTAGAAGTGTAAGTTGTGTTTACTGTCTAATATAAAATAATTTCAGGAGCCTAAATAACATCATTATTCTAACAGTGTTGTTACAGGGTTACTTTTGTAACTGTTCAATTCAACTGAGCTGTCATTTGACTTTCATAAACATTTTTATAACATGGTACTCATGAAAAGAGATTTGTCTTCCAAATGTATAATGTACCTTAGACATTTTAAAAACAGTCTCTAGAAGCACTGCAGAATTTCTCTTATTTTCTTGAAATGGGTGGGAGTGATAAAGAAAGGAAATGAAACTTCTATCTTACTTCTGGCAGATAAACAAATCCATTTTAAAGGCTTATCTACCTGCCATCTTTTTCTAGATCCTGTACGTGTTTTCAGAGACATTTCACTTTTCAAGCCTATTCTTTCAGACAGTTTGAGTCCTTGAAGTTTAAGGAAGAATGTCCTGGTAGCAACCTGAAGAGGATGGGAAAGTAGTCTGTTGAAATTACTTTTCTTTGTTCTACTTAGGACAAGCTATCTCACCTGGAACTTGAGCTTGATGAAGAAAAGACTAATTCGGATTTGTTGTCTGAGAGGATCAGTAGATGCAGAGAACAGGTACTTGAACAAGTTTTCCATCTGTTGTATCCTTATGAGGAAAACATGTTATTAGGTTCGCAAACAATATTGATTAAATAATGATTAGCAGTAGAGTTTTGAGATACTTAAGCAGAGTATGTAAATCAAAAAAACTAAGCTTAACAAGCATGATTAAATATGCTCCTCCGTGTCATCCCAGAGCATTTTTTTCCGGTTTCCCAACTGGAAAACTGACACAGATTGCATGTGAAGACTGAAGAGCAGTATCATTCTCTGATATTCTTGATGCAGTGAGCTTCCTCAAGTAGGCTTTGATACATGCAGAGATTATGCTATCTTAGGCTTAGTTTTAGGTGGTGAGGCTATCAGAGAAATCATGGTTGTAGAAAGTATCTTAGTTTGAAAGATCACAATTATTTAACCTTACTGAGAAGTAGGCCAGTGTAATAGAGTTGTGATTTCAAAGGAGGAGGAGCTTAGGAAATTGTGGAATTAATTAATGAAGTCAGGTGGACTGAAGATGCTGGCCAGTTTCAACAGAGGAACCTTTATTTTCATTACAAGTGTAAGAACCAGGTAAAGTATGTCAAACATGAGACAGTTGGAAAGCATTTTCCACATAAAAACATCAGTCATTAGTTCCAGAAGTGAGTACATAGCCCAGAAAGAGGGGAAGAAGGTTTTATTAACAAGGTTGTGCCTCATGGGGCAGAAAACATAAAGTGAAATTTGCCAAGCTATGTGAGATAAATTATAGTGGTTCACACAAGTAACAAAAGAGTTCTTGACTGTAGAAGAAGAAAGTAAAAGAAAGAAGTTGAGGAAACTGTATGATGAGGGATCAATCAAGGTAAATCACGAGGTATCAATCAAGGTAATCCAGATAAAAAGTAATCCAAGTATACCTCCTCAAATAAATTAATATTTTGCCTCTGTTTTCAGTAAGACCAGCAAATGTACAGGTGAGGGGAAGTGGAGTGGGCTAATAGAAGTCAGACCATTGAGCTGGAAACACCAAGTCTAAGAGAATTAGGAGTTCATTGTTCTGAAGAAAGAGGCCTTAATAATACTATTCAAGATTTCTGAAAGAACTGACATATGGAATTATAGGTCCTGTAACAAAGATTTATAATAAACCAGAAAAGTATACAATAGGCCTTGATGACTGAGAAAGTAACCAGAGCATCCATGGTTGAGTGGTCAGTCAAGTTTTTGATTATCCCACAGAAAGGAATGTGGTGATGTGGGAGTCTTGGAATACCATGGCCTAGACAATGTTCTTTGCCTTCGTTTTACGTTCTGAAAGATGTGAAACTGATGCATAACTCATTAGTGCCTGTCTACTACTGTAGCTTTACATTAAGCACTACGCCTCATTAGTAATTTCCTAGAAGTCCAGGAGACAATTTTCATTGAGGTACAACCCACGATAGTCTGTTCTGTTCTCATTTCTCTTTCTTTCTCTGGAAAAGAAGAATTGTGTTCAGCTTTCTTTGAATGCTTGAAACACCAAGGCACCATTACTACTTTGTTGAGACTCGAGTTACTGAGGGTCTGTTTGACTGAAGTATGGTGGTTTTGCTGTTTTTCCACTGATACTGTACAGACTCTGAGTCAGTGGTGAAATAGAATGTCAAGGACTCACACTAATGGGCGGTCATCTATTGTTAAATTAGGAAGCCTTTAATACTAGAGCCTATGCCTATGTTGTGAGCCTGGGGTAAAAGAACCTTAGTCAGAGGTGCACTAATGGGTACTGTTAATGTGCTAACTGAATGGAAACCTAAAATACAGATGGGTGACCAAAATGTTACATAAGGGGTAAAGGACGTGTTTATTTTGAGGTCTGGAGTTTCTCATTTCATACATGAGTTACAAAGGTTGCTTTGTTTTGATTTTATGCCAGAATGACTAAGTGGTCAAATTACTAAAGAGTATTTCAGGGTCTGCTAAGCATTTAGAATGACAAGAGATATTATAATGGAGTTGTTTTGGTAATATCTGTATTTCTGTAAATGTTGGGGTTTTTATTATTATAAATTTTATTATACTGTTAATGAACTATTATACTCAAATTTCTAGTAAAAACAAATTGAAACAACTGGTTCTATTTTACATAAAGCTAAATGTTTGAATAAACATTGGCAAGGCTGATAGTTCACATTTCGTTTGACGTGAAATGTTACCCTTTTTTAATTCAGACACCCTGCCTGAGACACACTTCTCATCTTCACTGCCTCATTCTCAAGAAGTAGCACAAAAAAGTGGAAAGTGTAAATTCTGGGGGAAAGGTGGATCATATTCTATTAGTTTTTAGATTCTAAGATATTAGCAACTCTGGAAATAGCAAATTGGTGACACGCACAGAGTCCATTGACTGCATCATTCACTTCCTCTTGGTAAAGCATTCTCTATGGATAGCTGTGTACCTGCTCTTTAGCTGGTACCAGGTGTGGGAAGCAAAGAAATTAAAATGTGGACATGAAGGTTGCTTTTAAGTTATGTGTATATTTATATTTATATATACACATACATATATTTTACTTTTCCTGACTTAGGTATTAACATGAAACATAGGCTATGAACCTAGTGAGAGGTGGTACACAATGGTGATAGCATACAAAATATTACTACAAATCAAATTGCTTTCACTAATAATGAACTCAACCGCTGCTTCTAATCCTAAAGCTGGCACAAAGTGCTATTCTGTTTAATAAAACTTTGTAAAATCTGATACTACTGCTTTTCTCAATTCTTTGTTGTTAGCATTCTTCAAATCCATCTGGGATAACTGTTACCTTAAGCTGCAGAAATAGTGTATTCTTTTAACAGAATCAGAATATATCAGATATATGAAAGGTGGAATGTGATGGAAGGTGAAAGCTCCACATGGTACATACCCAGAGTCTCTCTTAACTGCTGTGAAATAAGTCTTAGTTATGTGTTTACTAATGAAAAGTGCAAGGACATAAGGGAAAACAGTTTCTACTTTCCCCAGCAAGAATTGTGTCCTGCTGCCCTTCTCTTCTTACAAGCTGTTGTGTTTATTTGCACATAGCTTTCTGGTCCTAATCAGATACAGTACTTTTTCTCTCTCCCCCAGTTTTTCTGAGAGATTTATTTTATTGTGAGGTATCCAACAACAGTAGCATTCATCTTGGAAATATATTAATTATCCTCTAAATAATTTGTTAATTTGAGATCTTGAGAAGGTTGCACAAATTTGTCACAGCCTTTGAGCACAGTAAGAGCACGGTAGAACTTTAGAGTACTCCATTAAGCAAGTTCCTACGTGAAACAAAACCCCTTTCTTCACTTAACAGTTGCATTTCTAATTAGTCATTCATTTTACTACAAATTTTGCTTTGTTTTTTTCTGTGTCTGCCTTCCTGGCTAAAGCAATTACAGCGGAATAAACGATGTAATTCCTCACATTATAACATTTTTCATACGTTTCATTAATAAATGCAGCTATTGTATACATAAGTGATCATAAATTTTATATTAAAATACTGTTTCAATATATAAAATAACATTTTAATCATATAATGTGTAAAACATTATTATTAGGCTTCTACGTGACAAGGAGAGCTGTTAGGAAATTACCCAGCTGTTGAGAACACAGCCATGTGCTAACATTTGTAGTCCAGTAACTGTGATGACCTTCGTGTTCAGGAATGCTTTCCCCTGTTTTGAAACCATACTGTGATATATCGTATGCGAGTGCATGTGTTCCTACCATTGTTTGTATTCATACATTCATTTCACAGCTACAGAAACTGTGACTGACTTCTTTTAGACACGTGATTAACTAGAAATGTAACTCTTAATATTATAATGTGGTAAAAAAGGCCTAAGGTACAATGTCATGTGCTCTGCTTGTTTACCCTTCACATTCTTAGCATTGCTTTTGGATTTTTTTTTATGCAAGAATTCCCAATGGCTTTTGAAAGGCCTTCAGTGAGATAAATCTGCATTTAACTTACCACTTAACTGTGGTAATGTGTTTATGCAAGTTCGCAGTAACTGCTGTAAAGTTAGTGAAGAATGCCGTGGCCTCTGAAACCTTTGTCAGTCTCTTTGCAGGTACAGTAACTGGCACAGATGTTCACCGTGTTCCCCAGGTGATGCTCATCTTAGGGACCATTGTGCAGGGAATAGCACAAATGCTGTGGCAATAGTAGTTGTTCCTGCAAAGGCATTTGTAAAGACTTGAGGAGGAGCAGTAGTAAGAGGCAAGAAAAGTATTTGAGCATTGCAAACTTTTTCCTGTAGCCTCCAAGTTTCAGTAGCACCTGTGAGGCAGTTTAGAGTTTCTCTTTGATCCTCAGAATTTTTTTTTTTTTTCAGTCGGGTCCAATAGCGAGATAAATCAAATTAATTCTGTATTCTTAATTCTCTGTTCATCAGGTAGCTTTTTAATGTCTTACATATGGAGAATCTACTTTCCTTTTGGTTATTGAATATGCAGCTGAAATATTTACAGAAACTGTAGCAGAAGTTGTGTTTTAACAAAACAACAAAACCAAACAAAAAACCCCCACCCCATCCCCAAATCCAGAAGTCAGTGCTCTGCTGGTCTGACAAACAAAATCGACTGGAGGAGGGGAGGAATGTTCATACCCATTATGCATCAAGCTGGTGAAAAACAGCTTCTACTGTTTTCATGGACATAGAAAACTGTAATTGTCTGTAGAGTTTCTCACTGAGTTCTAGGCACTTCTCTGCAGCTACCAGTTTGTTTTTATTTAAAAGGAAACTTTAAAGTAGAATAGTCAGCAGCTTAAAGGTAAGGTGCCATTTCAGAGCTTCAGACTTAAGTATGAAGAAAACAACTGTAGAAGGCGTTTGAAGGCTGATGTGATGTTCCAGTACTCATTTCCCTGCCACATTGTATGTCTGTCATGCAACATTTTAGAGTTCAGTTCCCTGCTACGGAATATATATACACTGAACATCAGCAATACCCAATTGGGCTGGAAAATGCCTAGAATAAGCACTGGGAATAACATGGGCTTCCCAAAGCAGAAAATTTTGTTCAAGAGTGTAATTGTAAACTTAATCTGAAATCATGCATATGTCTTGCATTCTAAGAAAGAGCAGATTTTTTCTCATTGTGTAGGTATATTGTAGGTATATGTGCTTTATGTGTATACATACGCACAGTATCATAGATAAATGTAAATGAAATCTTTAATAAAATTTCTGTCTTTCTATAATAGATTGAACAAATGAGGACAGAGCTACTTCAGGAAAGAGCTATAAAGCAAGATTTGGAGTGTGACAAAATTTCATTGGAAAGACAGGTAATTATGGCTGGCATATCATCACACTGGGATTATAACAGGCTGGGTATCTGCCTTAATTAGGAAATTCAAATAAGCATTTAAGGAATAAAGTATTTGGTAGCTGGCACTATCCCACCATAGTGTGCTGGTGGAAGAATGTGTTAGTCAGAATAGATTAAAAACCATGAGTATCTTAAAACTGATACTCAAAAGAAAATGTTATCATATTGAATTAAGTTTTTACTTAGTATTTTTTTCTTTCTGTACCACCTGTTTTAGGTTTGTCACAGTCTATGTATTTTATATACTAAACACTCATACTATGCATACATCTGTTTATATAATAGGACATTTTTGTTGCAGTGAGTGCAAGCACCTCCCTGCTGCACGAATTCTGTCTGTGCATTTGGGGATCAAAGACATGAAAAATAAGGACTGTAACAGTTGGAATGGTACACTTGTTTTAGTACTAAACTGAGATATCGAGATAGAAACTTCTAAAAAGCACATACACAGAAAAGACTATAGAATATCAAAGACACTGTTACCCAGTTTAGCTGTAAATCCTTTGACCACTTTTGGAGGAGCTGTTCTCCAAAGTCTTAACGGTACTTCAGGAACACTCTTGGAGGTAGATCATAATTTCAAGCAGTTGCGATTTTACTTGAGTATTTTCTTCTGTAAGACCAAACAAGTGAAAAAATGACATGCCTCAAAGAAAAGATACAAATTTGATAGAGAACTGCTGCTCTCTGTTGTCTAGGGAGGAATGTTACTTATATGTTTCAATATCTGTGATGGAAAATACATTGTTGCTTTTTGCAACATTTTATTCTGCATCTGGGTGGTGTTTGAACACAAGATTACTATCATAGCCTCTAGCTGAGATCCAGAGGAAAGGTATCTTAGCAAGTCACAGTATTATTGATAGTCTCAAGAACATAAAACAGATTTTAATGAGCATTTAGAGAACATGTTTATACCAGACACACAGTTTGATGCCTTAAATCATGTGAAATTGATCTCAATTGTTTGAGAAAAAAGAATGCCACCTACTGGTGTATCCCATGTACATCCTTGTCCTTTAGTTCTGACATCTCTATCACAGCTTTTTTACTGTTTAAGTTCTGAGATCGTGGTTTGAAGTTTTGTAACAAACAGCTTTACTTTTTGTTCCTCCTGTAACTCTTCCTTTTTTTTTGGAAACTTTGTCATTAGGTCCCATTGAAAACTTAAATTACCTGGCCTCATAAAAATTAAAATGTAAATCTGAGCAAAAAACCTGCTTTAAAAATCATACAGCTTGCAAAGTTTTTCAAACTATTTAAGTAGCACTGGATTGTTAAGAAAGGGGAGAGAATCACACAGTAACAGCTTTGATAGAGTAAGGTAATACTGGATGCAAGTTATTTTTTTGTCCACTTGTTTTATCCGGGTACACCAGTGAGTTACAGAGAGAGGATACAGAATTTGCCAAAAGAATTGTGTGGAGAATAAGACAGATCCAATGTTATTTTAAAAAGTTGGGCATATTAAAAAACATTGGAAGGAGCTTGCAGCCATCTGAAGGTCAAGGGTCCATTTAAGTCTAAAACTTTAACTCAAGCTTTAACACTGAATTCTTTTCAATAAATCACAGAATCATAGAATGGTTTGGGTTGGAAGGGACCTTAAAGCTCATCCAGTCCACCCCCTGCCGTGGGCAGGGACACCTCCCACCAGACCAGGTTGCCCAAAGCCCTGTCCAACCTGGCCTTGAACACTTCCATGGAGGAGGTATCCACAGTTTCCCTGGGCAACCTGTGCCAGTGTCTCACCACCCTCACAGTAAAGGATTTCTTCCTGATATCTGGTCTAAATCTCCCCTCTTCCAGTTTAAAACCATTTCCTCTCATTCTATCGCTACCTGCCATTGTAAAAAGTCCCTCCCCAGCTTTCCTGTAGGACCCCTTCAGGAGCCAGGAAGGCTGCAATAAGGAGCCTTCTCTTCTCCTGACTGAACAACCCCAGCTCGTTCAGCAGATCCTCAAAAGGGAGGGACTCTTGCTCTCATCATCATCCTCGTGGCCCCCCTCCGGACCCACTCCAACAGCTCCATGTCAATTCTTATACTGAGGCCCCCAGAACTGGATGCAGTTACTCCAGGTGGGGTCTCACCAGAGCAGAGCAGAGGGGCAGAATCTCCTCCTGGCCCTGCTGGCCACACTTCTTTTCATGCAACCCATGATGCTGTTGGCCTTCTGAGCTGCAAGCGCACGTTACTGGCACATGTTGAATTTTTCATTGACTGACACCGCCAAATCCTTCTCCCCAGGACTGCTCTCCAGCCATTCTCTGCCCAGCCGGTGTTTGTGCTTGGGATTGCCCCGACCCAGGTGCAGGACCTTGCACTTGGCCTTGTTGAACTTGATGAGGTTGGCATGGGCCCACCTCTCCAGCCTGTCCAGGTCCCTCTGGATGGCATTCCTTCCTTCCAGGGTGTCAGCTGCAGCACCCAGGTTTGAGTCATCCTCAAACTTGCTGAGGGTGCACTTGATCCCACTGTCCATGTCGCCAACAAAAGTGTTAAACAGTACCAGTCCCAGTACCAATCCCTGGGGAACACCACTTGTCACTGGTCTCCATTTGGACATTGAGCCACTGACTACGACACTCTGAGCACAACCATCCAGCCAATTCCTTACCAGCGAGTGGTCCATACATCAAATCCATGTTTCTCCAGTTTCATAACCAGTTTGTCATGTTAGGACAGTGTCAAATGCTTTGCACAAGTGCAGGTAGATGACATCAGTTGCTCTTCCCTTATCCACCGAAGCTGTAACTCCATCATGAAAGGTCACCAAATTGATGACGGATGTTTTGGCCTTGGTAAAGCCATGTTGGTTACCACCAATCACTGCATCCTCGTTCTTCCTGTGCCTTAGAGGAGCCTTCAGGAGGATCTGCTCCATGATCTTGCCAGGCACAGAGGTGAGACTGACTGGCCGATAGTTTCCTGGGACTTCTTTTTTCCCCTTTTTGAAAATGGGGGTTATGTTTCCCCTTTTCAAGTCATCAGGAACTTCACCAGACTACCATGACCTTTCAAATATGATGGATAGCGGCTTGGCAACTTCTGCCAGTTCTCTCAGCAGCCGTGAATGGATGTCATTGGGTCCCACGGACTTGTGCACCTTCAGGTTCTTTAGGTGGTCTCCAACCTGATCTTCGCTTGCAGTGGACAGATCTTCCTTCTCCCAGTCCCTACCTTTGCCTTCTGTGACTTGTGCAGCGTGGCCGGAGCTCTTGCCAGTGAA